GGGCAGCTTCCAAAGAAGATGAAATAGCCTTCAAGGTATAACCCCAAACATTGGACATTTATCCGCATAGAAAGGACGGTAGAGAACTCGAGCTGGACAGACATTCAGGGTGTGTAGGATCCGGTAGTTTCTCAAAATAAGGGGACCCCAATATAGACCCCAAAATACTATAGTCCTTATTATGGGGACCCCCAGAAAAGGTACCCCTAATTTTGGGAACCCCCCATATTGGTTCGTTTCCGAGAAGTCCTGGAGTGCCTCGCTCGCAGGCGCTTAGCGCAGCCCCGCTGGCGACCACGTGAGGCGCATGGTGCTGAGACTGAGCAGACAGCTTTGGAACTTGCAGTCAGAGACGGTAACTACTGCCGCAGCATTCAGATGCAGAGCTCACCAGACAGTCTGAGATAGCAACATCTGTCATTCCAACATCCTAGCAGAAGGCAAGAACGCTGAACAAAATAGCCAAACACCGCTGAGAGGGAGGAGGTACTGTGGGCAGCTAAGCTACTCTAGGAAGTACCTGGGAACGCCATAGAGCAAAGCTGCCTTCTTGGACCGTTGCAACATCCTCCACCGAGGAAACCAGAGGAACCCCCCCTGCCTCAACCCCACAGTTTACTCTCTGCGGCTGTGGGGCTGCATCACGGAATACCAGCAGCGCCTTGAGGCAAGGGGATAGGGCTTTCGTGTTCAGTGCGCGATGACGCGAGATCCTTGGCAGATATCTTGTTTTGGACTTGGGATGGTTGTGGAAGATGAGTTGCTTCTGGAATGAAACCTAATGCCTGAGAGGTTCCAGTCTGCGTTGCAACCTTTCAGACTATCAGGAGATTTAGTAGGAGACAAATCAAAAGTAGACTCACCTCCTGAGGCAGAGGGGATCATGGAATACCAGGTCTGTGTCAGAGCATAGCGCATTTCTGTCCTGCCTGCTGCCAGAAATCTGCACGCAGGGCCGAAGTGATGGCAGCCTTGGCACTAGGTTGCATGAAGATCTTGGAGAGCTCATAGGACTGCAGCTTTGGACTTACAAGTAGTTGCATGCTGCAGGCTCAAACACCGGCACGCCTCACAAGGATTGCTGCAGCGCTCGTACCCGAACGAGTATAGGCAGTTAACATTTCTCCTTAATCCCTCCTAATTGCTTTTTTTGGTCATCATGGGCAAGAGGGGTTCGGGACCTGAAGGCGTGCCAGCACTGATGCAACTTGGAGCAGTTCCAGTAAGCCCTTCAGCTTCACAAGCAATGAACTGGCCGGTCCTGGCCTCTTGTAGGGCATAGGATCAGAAGCTCACTGTGCCAAGAGAAGACATGCTGACTGGTCAACAATGGTACTACTCATGGAAACAACAACAAGAACTGTCACACCCTAGTAATCATTCAGAACGTGGAGAACTCGACCATGATAAGCATCATCGGCATCCAGGCAGGCAAGTTGCAGTCACTTGCGGCGAGCCTATGCTTCACAAGGTGTGGGGTTTGGGCTAATGGCAGGGGATTCCTTGCATGAAATCTTCCAAAGCCTTGACACCCAGCATAATACCCCCCGTCACAGCCAGGATACCAAAATCGATGTTGCATCATACATACAGGGAGTGGATGTTGCTGGATCTTCAATAGCATTTCTGCCACGGAGTTGGTCTGGTACCGTATAACTGCATTGAAAATCGATACTACTCATGCAGCAATACCCTTCAGAAGCGCAAAGTGGCCCCCGATAGCGTGTGAACGGCAGCAAGCCTAGTCGATGTAAACATCACGAGGCAAGTGTCTACAGAAATCCTAGCTTCTAGTTTTTTGCACCTTTTTCTACAACCTCCGGAATTGACTCTGATTTTGTTGCAGTTGCTGTCTGCATAAGACTGCCCCTCCGTCTGTCTAGCTTCCGGTTACAAGTGTCATAGTTTGGGACATTTTGGGGTTAGGCCCGGCATGAGAGGCCTAAGTGGAGTTTGGCTTTTCTGTACAAATTCGGCTTGTAGCAGGCTTGCATGTGTTTAGAAGGACGCCTCTGCATATATGCTGCGACAGTGCTACAGGTCTTGTCAATTGCAGTGTGCCATTGGTCAGACACACAAAGGTGAACGTCACGCGAGCCATGCATAAAACGAAGTGCTCGCTCGGCCTGCTCTTGCTCATGAACGCCTTAACCTTGATCCCCCAGAACACTAATTACTTTAGTTACTAGAGTTCACCCTGAACTCCAAATCCTAAACAGGTTAAGCTGCTTGGCCCCAGCCGAAAGTGACCGAGGTCGGAAGCACACAGCTGCGCCTGCTCATTGCTTTGGACTGCGGCAATGTGCCCGATCTTTTCAAGCTCTTGCAACTTGATTTGGACTCCAGAAGCGTTTGGAATTATTTCCGGGTTGTAACGATCCAAAAACTCCTGCAGCTCCCTAGGCGAAGTCTACGTTTCAGCTTGTGGTGAGGACCACCACATGGGCTGAGGATCTTCTGAGATGGTGGGACTCCACTAGGTCACGCTGTTGCTGTTGTTGTTGCTGCTCTTCTTGCTGTTGTTGTCGTTGTTGTCGTTGTTGTCGTTGTTGTCGTTGTTGTTGTTGTTGTTGTTGCTGCTGCTGCTGCTGCTGCTGTTGTTTGTTGTTGTTGTTGTTGTTGTTGTTGTCGTTGTTGTTGTTCTTGTCGTTGCTGTTGCTGCGCCTCTCCTGGTGGCTCAACCACACCTGGAAGACGCACTTTAGCTTGGGCTCTTCTGCCCTGTTTGCTTTTCAGATTGGCTGTAGTGACCTGAGCGTATCGTCTTAGCTATGTTCATGTGATGGGGATAGCACTATAGCAACATCGAGGAGTGACATCGCGCCTGCTGCCATTTCTGGCCTTGGACCAGGCGGAGAGATCTATTCGCTGCAAGCATTAGATGCATTTCTGAACTAAGATGGCTCGGTCCAAACTTCAACAGTGGAATTCTGCCTGAATTCCCAAGAAGGGGGTGGGGGGGCACATTAGAGAACTCCAACATCCATTCTCTGGCGAAGCGACTCATGCGCCCATGGCTGAGTGGATAAGGCCCCGCAGCACACGGCGTGCAGACCTTTCCAGGCTGCTTTTCAATTGCGTAACGGTTCACGAACATCATCATTACAGGTGTTACTACAACTTCTCATCCCCTGTATCGTGAGGCAAGATTTTTCTAATTGTTTAGGTCCTGGCGGTTGCACTGTGATGTGGGGCTTCAAAGCTAGGGCAAGTCACAATCAAAACACATGTTTGAGTACAGTAGGCGCTGGAAACTTGTTTTTTGGGGGGTGGGGGCGCTGGCTGTCGTTCTAGGCCTTGTGACTCTGTCTGACTTGCAGGTCGGTTTGCAGAATACCAGAGGCGCAGCATTGTTGCGAGCCGAATGGCAGGAGAGAGCACTGTGTTTTCCCGAGGAGCCAACGCGGTCGCAAACCCTAAACCCTAAACCCAAAACCCTAAACCTCGTGGCCAGGATTCTTGCTACCAAGACCTCCGAATATCCAGGAAAAATCGTGCGAAGCCTTTGCAGGAGAATCCGGAAGCTAGAAAATCTGAATCTTTCGGCACATGGTAGTTTCCGTACATAGGGGGACCCCAATATAGACCCTAAAATACTATAGTCCTTATTATAGGGACCCCCAAAAAGGGACTCCTAATTTTGGGAAACCCCTACATTGCCTTGGACCTGCAACTTGGATCGTGTACGACAAGGCAAAACATCCAAGCAACAACCTGTCGACAGGCAACGGCACTACTGCTCTTCTCAAATCCGAATCCCGAGCAACACCTTCTCCGACAGCATCACGAACACGCAAAGACGTAAAGGATATAACCCTGCATACACCTACATACCCTTCTACTGCCCTATACAACCTGGCCTATATACCCCTGTATACCATAAACCCTGAAAAGTCCCAGCATGACAGGTTTCGTCCGCGTGGCTCATCGGCGCCACAGCCGGGAGGCGTCGGGCGCCAGGAACGTGACATCCATTGCCCCAGATGATGAAGATCTCGAGCTATAGAGATGCGCGCGTATGTTAGGACTCTAGTTTTGAGAAGGATCCCACGGGCATGCCTTGAGGCAGAAGGCCTAACAAGGGTTGGGTTCCAGAAAAATAGCTTCAGCAAGCAGAATGTCGAATCTCGCGGTGACTATCTTGTCAACCTGGCTGACCTGTTTACGCTGCGCTACGGGTTTGTCTCCACGTGGTTTGTAGAAGCACACAAGCATTCATCTTTGAGCAGACCTCTTGCACAAGAAACTGGGATCAAGTACAGGTTGAGTCCAAGTGCTGCGATTATTGATGCAACTCAGCTAAGGTCAGAAAGCACTACCCAAGAAGACAGCTGCGCTATGGGTGGGATGCGTAGGGCACCGAGATCTGCTGTCCACGGTCCGAACAGTGCTGCAGAGTGCCGGATTTTCGGCCTAAACCCCAAACCCCTAAACCCTAAACAAAAATAAACCCCTAAACCCAACAGCACTTCCTTTTGTGAAGCAAGGCTCTGGTCCTTGGCCTGTCGCTGGTAGTGCAAGGGCAACGCACATCGAAGAGGAATTCTTCCTGCATTACCCAGTGCGGCCAAGGACCCATATATGAGGAACCGAGCTGGTAACCTAAATAGTATGTCCTTGGGTTTTGGGAAGCCTGGTTCCTGGAACCGGTTCCGATCACATGCTGG